CGTAACTCCCTGCCCTGAGCCAGCCGCAGGACCATCCTTCCAGCTCTCCAGGTTCAAATGAAGGCAGCAGGTTTTGCCCGCCCTGTTCCCGAACAGCGGGCACCTCCGCCCAGCGCTGGGTGCTGGGCAGGGTGTCGGTGGGAAGGAAGGTGCTGCCTCTTGCTCGCCAACCTGCGGGGCAGCCGCCGCGGCCACCTCCGCGCAGCACCGCTCCCTGTTGCTTTTCAGTCGCTGGGCTGGATTCCTGCGCTGCCTGGCTGGAGAAGGACTTGTCATGTTTGGTGTCGACGCACACAGTAACCTTGAAGACAGGCTTCGGTTTCCACAGATAAACAGAAAGCAGTCAAACAAACAAACAACCACAGCAGCAAAACTTTCCTGCACAAGACTCGCGCATGAAGAAGCACACTGGCCTTAAAGGAAATTCCACAGCAATCCATAAGACAGCCAGCAAAGGGGCTGAAATGGGACAGCTTTGTCTCTGCTTTCTCTCAACTCCACAGCTTCCCACCAGCACTTCTCTTCTGAGGCCATCTGCAAATTGACCTGAACTTGGTAATGAAGGGACAGGGGCAAACAAGGAGGGTGTATTCCTGGGCAAACCCTCAACTGTCTGTTCACACAACAGCCATGGCTCCTACTGAGCTTTAGGAGAAAGAAATAAAACAAAAGCAGTGATAACTTAGAAAGCAAGGGAAGAAAACAAATCCTGATCCAGCAAACACCTCAGCTCCTTTCTCACCCAAGGTGGATGTTGTCATTGTTTGTGAGAGAGATTCTCAGGAGATGCATCATCCAGAGGACACAGTTACTCAATTCAGGAGTTATTCCTTGTCTCTCAAGAAACCCCACATGCCTAGCATCCACGTTACAGCAGCCAGCATCCCACAGCCCCTCTGCTGCCTTCGGCGATGAATTGAAGGCTGAGCGAGCCATGGAGGATGCAGGCTGGGCACGGACATTGTCAGACCACGGTCAGGGGGTATTAGCAGTCACTGAACCAGGAGGGATTTCTCTTGCCAGTGCCCGGTTGCAGAGGGAAGAGCAGCCCTGAGTGCTACTGGAATGCAGCTGTCCCCAAAGCCTATCCAAGCCTGAGATCCTCAGCAGGACCCCTCTGGTGTGACATACATGCTCGTGTTTTTACAGCATGAACACTGAAGCAAGGCAGAGGAAGACCGCCAGGATGGTGCATGGGACACTGTGCTCTGATCTGCCTCTCTGCTGATGCTGACAGAGTTCACCCAAGCTGAGAAATGTTTTTTTCTGTGAATGAGAAGATGCTGGTGCTGTTCCCAGTTCTCCTCACCTCATCTCTTCACAGCACTGAGCCTGGAGTTCTCCTCTGCTCAATAACCTAAGCAAGGCACGAGGACACAACAAGAACCGATGCTGTATTTAATTACAGTTAGGACAGTCCTCCTGCCACCCTTCCGACATCCTTAATAGCGGAGATGCGGAGAGGTGGCCCTTGTCTGGCCTTGGAACATCCCCATCTGGGAGCCGACGGATGTGCGCGAGCAGCACCCGGCCGCTGGACCAGCGCCAGCCACAGGCAGAACATCCCTGGAGCAACCACCCATCTTGTGCACGTGGTGATAACGCCTGCACTTCACCCTTGGAGAGCTGGGCCAGCGCTGCACTGCAACCGGCCAAGTGTGCCAGAGGGAAGCACGGCGAGCTCTGCTGCCCCGTAAGTGAAAGCTACAGCAGAAGCCGATTTCTGCCGAATGCAAAGAAAAAAAGGGAGACGGGGGCGGAGAACTCTTCGGATCCCAATGGTTGTACCCAGTTGCCCTCTTGACTTGGATCCCCTGGAGCAGGATTTGTCCTCAAGCACTGGGCAAGGGACTCTGAAAAATATGTCTGTGAGTACCCAGCGCAAAGGGACAGGACTGGTTGTGTGGGCACCCCCAGGCGCTCTCTGTGCTGGCACCGTCCTGCCCCAGGGGTTGGACTGAGCCCCTGCGTGTTCCCCCCTGGCTGGCTCCCTGCCCCAGTAACTGCCTGCCTGCAGAGCTCCACCAGCCGCCTTGGGACCATTCTCTCCTGCCCACGTCAGGAGCAGTGGCATTCAGTGCTTCTCTAGCTCCATCTACAGATGCTTTCTCTCGAGGTTTGGAAAGCTTCTGCTTACAAGGGGGCTGATTTTGAATCGCAGGTGGCAAGCACATGTTCTGGGACTTTCTGTCACTGTGTGTCCCTGAGTTTCAGATATCCTGAGGTCCTGGGAACTGTCCTGCTTCAGTGCAGAACTGAGCAATCCTGGCTGCTGGGACTAACACAATTTGCTTTGCTCTCTTAACCACATACAGGCCGGTTAAAGTTTTAAACTCCTGTGATGAAACCAGTAAACTTAGAAGCAAATACTAAGCATTGCTTTACACACCAGGGTTATGTTCTGTCCCATAGAGATCCCTATTAACACTAACATATTAACAACATGACTCTTAAGGATGGCAGCATTCAGGAGTCACAGTCATGGCCCTGGAAGACACCAAGACAAGCAAGCAGCCTTAAAAATGTAGCCAGATGCCACCTGAGGAAGAATGAAGAGGCTGAAGGAGACAACATGACTCACCCAAGGTCTCACAAGTCAGAGCTAGAAACAGAACACATACCTCCAGCCTCCCTGTGCGAGGCTCTGATCACCAGCCCGCATTGTAATCTATTCCACCTAACTCCTGCACCCCATCTGATTCCAGTGCACCCCTTGCTGGGCACTGGGAGCATCCCTGGGGAGCAGCTGCACGCCTGCAGACAATACAGGTTATAGGGATAAGGATCTTCTGTCCTTGATTCTTAATTCTTCTCTCATCTCCCTGCAATGAAGGTGGCTTCCACGCAAAAGGAAGGTGGCTCTGCCTGTACAGTTCTTAGGACACAACCTCCAAGTATGTATGAACATGAACCAGATGAAAACCACTCATCCTGAAACACACACCCCATCTAAGCAGCGATCAAGCACACTATGGCTGGAAATGACCTTTGAGACGCTCTCCGTGAACAGCCCTACGCTGACAGTGATTCATCCTGAAACACACACCCCATCTAAGCAGCTGGAAATGCACACTATGGCTGGAAATGACCTTTGAGACTCTCTCCGTGAACAGCCCTACGCTGACAGTGACGCCGGCACACACGGCCCATCCCTGCCCTGTAGGAAAGAGGCTCAAACAGCACCTGGGATGTCTGCCCCATTAAACTGGACAGCTACCATTTTAATTATCCATTAAATGACCAACTCAAAACTCTAATGAAGCTCCCTACAAGCATGTCAGTTTGGAATTATCATTTTGAAACCATGCTAATGTCAGAAAATCCAACATGAGAAACGAGATCTGAACTGGAAAGCTGTGGCACCAGTAAGACACTCCAGAGACTGGTGCTGAAGGGCCATCAGATGAACAAGGTCTCCAAGGCTGTATTTCATATCTGGGGAGCACAAACTTAGTTTTCTCAGACAAAACAGCACAGTGGCTTAGGAAAGGTGGGCTGGGCTCCAGAGCTGACAAATGTCCCTGACAATTAGGACAGGCAGAGTACTCTGAAGCACAAGAAACCACAGATACCTGCTTGGCTGCGATGTGAGGATCCACCCGGTACAGGACTCACCTGGAGGGAGTTCAGCACGATGAAGACATAAGCCCAAATGATGCTGAGGTGGACAAGGACCCCACACACCCAGGTCAGCCCCAGCACCGGCAGCAGCACCAGGACGGGCTTGGCTGTGGCCCTGTCAGGAAGAAGAGCTCAGAGTCACCCGGGCGCATTTCAAAGCCAAAACACTGTGCACTGGTGCCCACCTCCCAGCCACTGGCTCTCCACGGGCAACCCTGTCATGCCCCACGTCCCCGAGCCCAGGGTGTCCCGGCAAAGCGCCCCAGCCTGCCAAGCGTCCTTCCTGGCTCTGCAAACCCTGCCCAGGGTCTCGCCATGATCTGCCTGGGGCATCTGCACTGGGTTACAGAGCACGAGCGGATCTGCCCTGGAAAGAGCTCCACGGGCTCAGGAACACCCTGGCCTGGATCTTGTTGTTTAGAAGAGAAACCTTCCTTGCCTCCCCCAGCAAGCGCCTTTCAGACAATGCGTCCACCAAGAGGCACTCAAGATGGTAGCTATGGAACAAATTCCTCTGCAGCAAACAAAATTAGTTAAGAGGGGAAAAAAACAAACATTTCACCTCCCAGCCCCCCGTGTGCCAGCCCTGCTCCTTATTTATCACTGAGAGTTAGCAAGAAGGGAGCTCTTTGACGTCATTAGCCATGAGAAAACAGCTATTTTCCCCCCAATTGCGGCTACAAGGAGGGCTTCTGTATTTGTTTTATTAGCATATGGATGTCACCCTGCCCTCCAACAATGCCCTATCTTCATGCTTCTGTAAATTTGGGAAAAATTATTTATGATACAGGGGAACAATGCGTGTCTAGCAGGGGTATCTGGCGCCAGCTAACAACAATAAAGATTCACAGAGGATGATAAAGTAATGACTCAAGCAGCAGTTTTTTAGAGGTCTCTCTGTATTGACTGATTACAGAAGTCCACAACGCCTCCTTCCCCATGTAGGTACTTCCCACCAGCGTTACTTTCAATCCACCAAGTCCCAAACTCAGACAGAAAAGGTTTTTTGTAATGGCAAAGAGCCAACCCCCCTGCACTCTCTACAGCTGGCATCCTGCTGAGGGGCACACACAAGTGCTACGGGTGGGACGGGTATGAGACGAATTCAGTTACGACCCGTTCAAACTGCAACGTTCTGCGAAGCGGAGAGGAGCCACCTCTGCAGCTCAAAGGTATACGAAATTCCACGGAAACTGGGCACCCACTCGGGTCCCTGGGTTCCTTCAAACACCCGAAGCTGCCACCTCACTTCCCCGCGGTGATGTTTTACAGGACGCCCGCATGCCTGCCCCAAGCTGCTCAGCAGCACGGCAGGCTGACGCTAGCGCAGGGGCAGACAGCTCGGCAGCGCCTTCGGCAGCGTGACCCGCATTCCCACACACGCTATCACCACTGCAGACGATGGGGACGCTCACATGGGCCATTCCCAGACCCAAACTGCTGCTCCTGGTGATGCCAACAGGCCCACAGTAGCTTTGATTTCAGCAGGTGCTGCCAAGGGTCTCCTGTCCCAAAGTGCTGAGAATCAGGAGTGCATTTCTCAGGCTGAAAGTGCTGGCTGGGCTTCTCAGTGGCACAGACGTTAGAGCAGACAGACTGCCTTTGAGTGATGTACAGTTACCCTGGAGGAGAAAATCCTTTCTGCCCTGACTCCCCCAACTCACAGTCTTTCACTTCGCTAAGGCAAAGACTCTCAGCTTAACAGTAATTCCACCATTTCATACCCAGAGCAGCTGGGAAAACCAGCTCCCTCTCTGCTCACCAGATCTGTATTCCAATCTGTTTCTCCAGGCTGCTGTTGGGTGTCAGCATCTTTGATCTCCTGCGAGCACTGGACACAGTCACCATCACTACCCGGAACAGCACGAAGGTGTTCACCTGTCAGAGAAGAGCCATTGGACCCAGTAACCTTCTGTAATCTCAACTCCAGTGGGGTGAGGCTTTTGCGCTGGGAGCTCAGTAACTCAGCGTCAGACCCTGGGGACAAACGTTATCCCTCCTGAGGAAGCAGTGAGTGAAATACTCCATAGAGCTATCCACACAAGCATGACATCTATAAAACTTATCTCAAAACCTCTCCCACAGAATGTCTTCCCTGTTAAATGTCCACTCTACTCCCCTTAAACATTGCACCTTTTACTGCCACTGTGCTGTCAAATGATACCGACACTACTTCAGGGACGTTGCTTTTCCCATACTAAAATCAGACCTTTAGTTAAGGCAATGTCACAATCAACCTACGTGTTTATCTACATTCCTAATTTAACAGCCAATACAAGAAGTGGTCATCAAAATTTTCTTAAAGCACTTTTTTCTACCAAAAAGCTGCTTTGCTTTAAAGAGATTTATTTGCTTTGTGAAAGTATATATAAAGCATAACAAAAATTTTCCTATAAAAGCAGCAGGCACCACGAGCCCTGCGAGCAAGCACCTTGGCGACAGAAGTGCTGGCACCCCCGACTCCGTAACGCTTTCCTAAAACCAGACACGAAGGAATCACACCTTCCCGGCAGGTTTTGGCACTTACTGCCAGGATGAAGAGAACAGGCCCAACAAAGGCCCAGATGACGTTGGTCTGAACGTTCAGCCAGCAATGGTTGTCTGCCACATACTTGTTAAAGGAAGCTGCAAGGGTCACACCCACGATAACGACTGGAAGGCCTGCAGAAAAAAAAAGGACAAATTAAGCCCCAGTAAAAGCAGAGGTGACCCATGCACGTCAGCTGTGCTCTAGACAATTGCTTCAAAACCCCCATGACCAGACACGCTCCAGCGTGAGCCAGCTTAGCCTCTGAAACCCCACGAGCAACATCAATTTGCTGCAGCTGAAATCTGCCCTGACCAGATTTATATGCTGTCAGCATCATTCTCCTAGGTATAAAGCATTCCAAGACCTGAGTCCCGATCAAAGCAATTTACTCCTCAGATTGCTTTCTTAACAAAATGGACAATCAAATACATGAAACAATCCAAAATATTGGAACCAGCTGTCCAGTGTCCAACTAGGTGTGAGTTTTGCAAGGAGCACTGACTTGAAGAGGCTCCTCTTTGATATGAAACTCACCTTAGTCAAATGAATTCTATGTCCCTAAAGGGTTCGCTCAGAAGAAAGGGTGTTTAGTCAGGAACATATTTATATTTTGATTACTATCAGACAGTAGTAGTGCTATCTAAACAAGAACTTCCCCTAAACTTTCTTCTCCCTTTTTTTGTACTGAACTCTTGGTTTCAGAAAAACAACAGAAATGCTTCTGAATGTGTATTCTAAGACCAGCAATTTGACACATAAAGGTAAGAAAGCCTCTGCAGAACAGCGGTACCCAACATGCATACTGAACCAAACCAAACCTTCTGAAATGTCTCCTATTGAAACGTTTACTAGAGAGAAAATCAACACGTTTTTCTGTGTGCCCAACCCAGAGGAGTCTGTAGATACCCCAGCCTGTCACATAGTAGAACTTCATTCTCCTGTCTTCACTCATGTTGACAGCTACCACTTTGCTCCACAGGAGAAGCCCCTCTACCAGCATCCATGAAAAGGCTGCCATGAAGAAGAGGTGAAGGAAGGCAGTGACTGTGAAACACACCACCTGGAGAGAAGAGAAATCACAGGCTGCTTCAGGAGAAGTCGTCCTCTGGGATCTTCTGAGGGTGTGTGGTCAGAAGAAAGAGAGTAACCTGCAACTTCTGCTGCAGAATGGACAGAAATGTATTTAAACATTCACGGGCACCAGGAAGAATTCTTAAAATTGCAACACATGAATAGTCCAGGTGCTGCAGCTCACTCTCCTTTCATCTGCCATAGAAGAGGGAACTGATAGCAACTTTTCCTGCAGTTCTTGGACTTCCCTTGCAGGTCTCTCATCTCAGAGCTGCTTGATCCAGCCCTGGGATGCGGAAGAGGACACAGAAGGGGACAGAATTGTATGTTGCTGTTTTGTGACTACCTAAATTTCCTGAAGGTTTTTTTTTTTTTTGTCAGAAACAAAGTGTCAGAAAAAAAGAGGTGAATTTTCCTGACACTGATCAATGCATATATGTGCGTCTCCAACACAAAGACACAATCCTTCCCTAGGTGTAAGTTACAGATGAAACTTTATAAAAGGGACTATGCTTCTGTTCTGTTTGCTCTGACAGTAACGCCTGAGCAGGCCCGGTCCCGCTGGCTGAACAGGACACTGTCTCGTGAGCTTACCTGGTTGGTCTTGGCCAATTCACTGAACATGAGCAGAGCTTCTGCTGCAGCTAAGGCAAAGATCAGGTTCTTGTGCACAGTTGTCCGTTCACTCTTGGGGACACTGAGGAAGGAGAGAGGAAGCCCTCAGTGCAGTCCAATGAAAGGGTGCACACGCTCTCACCACTCCTTGCTGGGCTGCGCAGACCTGCCTGGGTGACCCGCGGTCTCTCTGCTACTCCCTGCAAAGACGACAGTCCAACGGGGCAGGGGGCTGCCCTGCTGTGCAAGCGCTTGGGGCTGGGGATGCGCCTGGGTACGGCTGCTTGGACCTTGGCCAGTGCTCCAAGGAACAGGCAGTGAGGAGGCGGTGAAGGAGCCACCGCCTTGCTCACAAGGCAGACCTCTGTGCTTGCCAAGTGACACAGAAGGGCAGGCAACTGAAGAAATAGTCTTTGATCCATTTATTTTATAAAAATTAACTCTAGCAGAGCAGCTTTTAAACACTATTAGTCATTGACAAAAATCTTTGCACACTCAAGTGTGGGCACAGCTCATACAAGCAGCTCCACAGAAACAAGCAGCACTGCACCCCCTCCCCAGCCAACGACAACCGCTCCCCTCCCTCCCCTCCACTACCAATCACCAGTGCAGCTCCTCTGCCTCTCCCCATGCAGCTGCATCACAAAGGGTACCTTGTTTGTGTACTTGTTCTGAAGCAAAAGAGCAAATAAAAAAATACAGAGAAGCCTACAAGTGTCTGGACTTTCCTTACCCAACTGCCAAGAATAAAATGAAGGTAACTATCAAGGCACAGAAGGAAACTCCACATCCAATAAAAGTCAAGGTCTGCAGCGTGAGCTCCTCCTTGGTGGTCCTCTGCTCCAATCATGAAACAACAGAAGACACAAAATGCCCACAAATTAACCACAGGCTGCTCCCAATTCTGGCATCCACCCCACAGAGCGACAGAGGCTCCTCGCTTACCTGCATCTCGTACACCTGCAGCAGGACAGCAAAATTCGTGGTGTGGTTGCAGAAACAGGCCGTGGAGTCTGGGAGAGATGTCACCACAGAGCAGCCAGCTGTGGACCACATCCCGCCAGCATCTGGGCTAACACGCAGCAAAAAGCAGAGAAAACACATGGAAATTACCATCCCCTTCAACAGAAAGCCAAGGCGTTAAGGGAATTTCATCCTCCCAGAAGAAGCAGAGTTGAAATGAGGAGAAGGGTATCAGAGACAGCTCTCCATATGGACTTCCCTTTGACTCATCCTCTGTCTCAGCACATTCGCCTTATCTGTCAGGCAGGCACAAGGAAACGGGTCTAGTGTCAATGTGTGCATTAAAAAGCCCAGTTCAGCCGTCCCTGCTGTAAACAGAAGTCAGTAATTGCACGGCTCTGGGAAGAGCAACTTTTACAGCACGTTCACCGAGAGCATCCCTGGACCAGGCACGTCTAATCCTCTCCGTCAGCCTGGCCTGCCACGTGCCGGCGCAGCTCCACCGAACTCTCGCTCTTGAGGACAAGCCAGCTTGCCTCCACCAGCCAGCTGCTCTCCACTGCTGGGCAGCCAGCAAAGCGCCGGGCCTGAACTCCCCGTGCAGGGCCAAGGCTGCAGCAGGGCAGCGCCGTCCTCGCTGGCAGCACTGCCCCTCTGAGCCTGCCCCGGTACCAAGGGAAGATCAAATTCAGAGCAGGGCTAGTGGAACTGCTTGTGCAGTCACCAGCTGCTTCCAAAAACACACTCTTCCTACCTTCCCCAAACGGAGCCGTGCCTGTTACAAAACAGGGACCCTAAGGAGGTTTTTCGCACTTGAATGACTTAATTACCAACCCGTAATATATCACAGTCCCAGTGCTCTCACTGCAGTGACATTCAGCAAAAACACATCTCAGTGCCAAGCAGTATTTATGAGGCTGGGAGTCCCGCATGTCTGTTGGGCTATATATCTTGGACCAACCCTTCTTTGTCGCAGGCAACAATCGTAATTAACTAGGGCTTTCCATTTTAGTTGTATATACCTCATTAAAGGTCACTTGCTTGTGAGTGACTTTTCCAAAGGAAATCTTCCCAGGAGAGTGCTCTACTCCAGCAGATAGAGGATGCCAGCATGCAAAGCAGGCAAAGAATTACAGATCCCTACTCTTAGCACTAAATTTACATTGTTATGTTTGGTTTTCCAGTGGAAATAAAAGCTCATAAATCTGGGGACCCGAGCTGAAACATGGCACCTGAGGCTGAAGTTCCAGAAGGCACAGATGGGCCCCACCAGCTTGTTGGGCAGGTCCTGCAGGCAGAAAGGGAGAAGAAGAGATTACCCAGCCATGCACGTACTGCACGCAGCCCGATGCAGTTCGCTCACTAGGCTGCAACAAGGTCTGTCAGCACAAGACAAACACCTCCCCAGGGAATCAGGAGTCAAGGTGAGAGACCTGGGCATGGGACACCCCAAAGCCCAAGAGCTCCAGGGGCCTTGAGCCACGGCTGGGCACAGCCGGCCGGGTCAGGGTGCACGACGCTGCTGGCGGGGCAGGCGGCGGGGCAGCACAGCCCCTCCTCGGGGTACCTGGACACGGTGCTGCAGGTGGTAGCGCACAGACGTGCTGATCTCCTGGTAGTCGCTGAGCAGCATGGACGAGATGACAGCAGTGCCCACCGTGGTGCCCAGGTGCCTGCCAGGGAAAGCACGCTGCTCACAGGCACGGCAACCACCAGCCATGCTCAGAAAACAGGATCGCGCGTTCTCCAAGGCAGCTGGAGAGATCTGGAGCCGCTTCTGGAGTGCTTCAGTGCCACCAGCAAAAGGCCTGGGCACCGGGCAAACCGAAAACACCCCCACTGCCCCTGTAAGGGCAGGAGGTGACCCTACAGATGAGGCACGGGAGCATCCGAAGCGGTTGGCAGCTGAGCAGCACAGCGGCTGAGCCAAAGGTCCAGAGTGCGCGCTGGGATGCGCGGGCTGCCATCCCCACCTAGTGTTCAGCGCTCCCCGGAGAGCAGCGGGCTCTGCCTCCCGCCCCACTCTGCCAGCCCCCATCTGCAGAGCATCCCAGCTCCAGCAGCTTCTGTCCCAGCCCGAGGGGACCCTGCAGCAGCCCCCCGCAGGCTCCATCCCCAGCCCACCCCCAGCAGAGCAGATAACCTCAGGGGAGCCAGCGGCACGCAGAAGAGGCACCGTGGTGCATGGCGGCACACGGGCAACCCCACCACACAGCTCAGGCCAAGGTGTGCCCAGGGCCTCTGCCTCCACAAAGCACCGACCCGGAGCCCCCTTCTGCTGCCCAGTCTCCACAGGCATACTGCAGAAAGCGGGGACAAGGACAAACGGGATGGGATGGAGCAGGGTGGAGGGGACCCCAAAACAGAGGCACTGAGAGACTCAACGTAGACTTGGAAGTTAATTCTCCTGTGGTACTAAGAGGGCAGCCCCGGGGTTCAGGGGGGTTCTGCTTCACTCACTTGTGTCCTCCATCAGAGGCAGCCGCGTCCTGGAAGACAGCACTGCTGCCAGCGCCGGACAGGCAGCGCTGCAGGGAGCTGTAGCCAAACCACATGTTTTTCACCATGACTCTGTGGAGACCTGGAAGGACAGAGCATTGCAGGACGGGTGCAAGCACACAGGGCAGCCCTGAGCAGCTCAAGCCTCAGCACCGCTGCCAAAATCTGAGGGTGTGATACTGGGGGTTCAGGGCACCCACAGCTCCAATCTGTGTCTGTAGAGAGACTGTAGGTAACCTCCACGGCCCACCTCCCTCTCACCAAGGGCATCTCTTCCCCACACTTCTCCAGACTGCATGTGTGCAGGGTAAAGAGTTCGTGACATTGAGGAAGATGCTGCAGAAGAGCCAAGGGGAGACCCAGGGAAGCACAGGCATCGTAGCCTACCTCTGTCTTTCAGTCTTTGCATTTCTACTGCGGGAATTTCAATGAGGTCGTGCCCGCGTTCCTCAGGGCTCTGGACCAGGTACGCCTCACTGCTCAGCTCCTGCCTGCTCAGCTCCAGCTTCCTGACCTCCATCCCTGCGGAGGGGTAAAACAAGGACTGAACCAGGGTTCAGCCTTCCTCCAGAGCTACTGCTACAAGTACCACAAGGGCACTATAACTGCAGCCATGACCCCCAGCAGCAGCAGACAGATCACTTTCAGCGCAAATCATGTGCATCTGGGCTCAGTTTGTCTCCTGTGCCCAAAGGTTTCTCACAATCGTCTTACAATCAAACGGGGAGAAGGCTGTAGGGTGAGCGAGAGATGAGCCAGAGCAGGAGAGGTGCCAGGAGCAGACTTGGGCTGGGAACCAGACAGGATGTCTAAGCTGGGTGCCGGTGAGATGCTCTGCCGGTGACACTCACCAACATTCCCATGCTGGATCGTGATCTTTGTCCTCCCTGCGGTTAGCAGTGGGGCTAAGTGTGACATCATTCTGTTGCAGAGCTCAACAACAGCCATGGGCCCTCTGATAACCTGCAAACACGGAGAGAGAAATGGAAATCAGCACCTGCACAGCCAGCTCACACTTCCCACAGCTCACAAGGGTTTTCCTAAATGCTTGGTCCTTGGCAGAAAGAGAGAAGTTGGGACTCCAGGCTTCTGCTTCGCTTTTCCCTGATTTCTTCACTAAAGGACGTTCCCGGTTCTTTCAGCAAGAAGATGAAACTGGCAATGAGGGAAACTTGCTGGTCCTTATAAAAAGCCGTTAAAACAGCATGGAAACAAATAACTAAATAAGCTTCTGGAAAGAAAATATATTTTTAGACCCGACTCCTGATTTTCGCAAAGCTCTAGAACAACTGTCCTTTCTTCCGGGAAAAGGTTTCACCCAGAAATAGATTCCACTGCTGAAGGGTAGCAGGTGACTGGCTCCATCACTCAAGGTCCTGCGTGTGCTGGGCAGCACTAGTGTCACCCCTGCAGCACACAAACTCAAACCCTCTCTCCTTCGGCAGATATATCTGCTGCACCAGCTACACTGGGCCAGAGCTGGTTTTAAGCCACTGTCGAGAAGTTGTGAGTAATTGTAGCCACGGAGACCTAAGTAACTCTAAGCGATGAGGTAAACACTGAACTATTCAGCATCCTTTCGTCTCTGGAGGACCTTGGCTTGGTTCCTGGAGCACTGGCCAGGCCAGACGCTGCCACACATTTCGCAGAGACAGGTGGAGAGTGCAGACCATACAGCAGACACAAAAGACCCACGTGAGCAGGGAAGAAGCTAATGGAGAAAATCCTAACAGGGGTGGGATGATGGAAATCCTTCACACAAAGCCTGCTGGTGTTTTGAACTGCGTGGGGGCTGGTGACAGATAGCTCTTTGGCAGCTCACCCACAGAAAATACAACAAACTATAAAGTGAAGGGCATTGCCCTGCCAGAGACTGCAGGATGTGGGAGCAAGCAATCTACAAAGCGCCGGGAATCTGCAAACTGTGTGTCATCCTGCAAATCGAGGCTGACAAAGCGGAGAAGCTGGAAGAGAGCTGAGACAACCACTGGAGGGGTTTGCAACGAAGGCATCACTTGACTGCACTTGTTTGCAGACGAATCTGTTTGCACCTCCAACAAACGAGGTAACAGTAAGGCAGCAGGCCCTTACCTGAGCTGGCAAAGAGGCTCCACGCTCATGCCTGCAGCATTTTCACAAGCTCCAGAATACAGCCAGATAGGCCACATGTGACCATGCAAGAACAAGTCCTCAGCCTGTGGTCATACAGCAGGCCAAGGAGCTGCACACACAACAAGATGAGCAGATGTGGCACACAGCATCCAGAGTGCCGGTGACACTGTTACCTGGCTGACTGATGACCACGTTTCAATATTCTGCTCTTCCAGGATCAACTCAGTCACTTCCACGTAATACTGGCCCAACTGCTCCAACATCTCCGTCTCCTCTCCCTCCTGGACTTCCACATCAGAAACTTGCTTTAGTAACTGAAGCACCGCAAGGAGGTCAGACGACTCCAGCACGGGTGTCTCTCCTTCCCTCAGAACAGTTGCCAAGACATCAAGAGCACCAAGAGCAACAGAGAGGTTCATGTCTTGGACATCACTTATAAAGACGTTCTCAGGAATCTGCCACGGAAAAGATGTTTCAGTTCAGTGCAGAGCCCAGATTCTGCCTGATCAACAGTTGTGCCTCGGCAATGCCCTCGCTGGTGTGAGGACACCTGCCTGGCCAACCTGGCAGACCTTAGGGGAAGGAGATCTGCCTGGACATTTTGAACTCTCCTGTCCAGCCTCTCAACCTCAGTGAACACCGGTCAACCTGAAGCAACACTTTGCTTGTTTGATCACAGCATGAATTACAGCTGTATTGGTCACACTCTCCAACAGCAGCTCAGAAAAGTCCACAGGCATAACTGCTGGCAAAGTGACCTCGAACACCAGTAGGTGCCAGCAAGTCCACCCCAACAGCTCCCAGTGTCAGCTGCCACTGCTGGGGCTGCAGGACTCACCACAGTCCTCTCTGCAAGGGTGTTCACTCGGCTGACAAGGGCATGACTGGATTCCAGCTGAGCTTTTTTCAGTTGCCAGTATGCATCTGAGGACAAAACAAAAGCATAACCATTGCTGTGGTGTCCAGCAGCGTGGTAACACGTGCCACATTCAAAGCCTGGGGAACGGTCCTCAGATGGTGGGTAAGTTTGTGGGACAGTCAGGACAAGGAGACTTCACAGCTGCATTTTATTTCTAGTACAAGATCACACCTGCAGAAACAGCCTAACACTTCTTTTCTGCCTCCTCCCCATGTGCCCCTGGCCAACACATCTGGAGATGCCTGGATTGGGAGGCACTCTACGGCCTTGCATCCAGAAGCCACGTGTACAGGCACTGCTTCACTGGAGAACAGCAAAATAACCTGTCAGAGCGCGTGCAACTGGAACCAAGTCACAGCTACGGCGCGATCTCATCAGAGCAGACACGGGGCCTCCCCATCACTGGCCATCATCCTAGCTAGGACCTCCAGGAGTGAATGCTGTGGAAGTAATGAATAAATAAATAACAGACGCTGTACCCTTTCTGTAGCGACAGATAAAAGGCAAAGACTGCAAACAAGATGCGTAA